GGGGTGAGGTAGGTCTCCAGATTCTTGCTCTGGCTGAGGAGGTGTCCTTGTCGGAAAGGGGCCAAGCTCCGACCTGGACAGGCTGCCGGCACCTACCTCGGAATGGGACACGGAGAACAAACACTTCTGGGCCACTGCCTGAGAGAGACACCTGGTACTGCAGGGAAGCGTGTGGGGGTTAGGCCTTTCAGGGAATGGCTGAGACTTTCCTGTTTGGGGGGCTAACCAACGGCAGCGGAATGGGTGAGATAGCAGGGGCAGCAGCAGTTCTGGAGGACAGGGGAAGCCGGCTCCCCAGGGCCTTGGGAAAGGGTCACTCATCACTGCCCTCATCTGCTAGCATTTTGACTCTCCTTCTAACCATGGCCTGGGTGGGAGGAGGGAGGCCCTAGGGGCCAGCGGATGGGGATGGGGCCAGGGGAAGCCACATTCCTGGAGTGTTAATGATCTCCGGGCTAGGCAGAAGCTGAGCCCCCAAACTAGCTAAAAACAACAAACAGCTCCCAGGAGGGATTTGTGTCTTTTCTGAGAGTCAAGGATTTCCATCCGGATGGGGGCTGTGGCCAGTGAGGCTCTTAGCAAAGAAATTCCCCAGAGACCAGAAGCCCCCTGACCGAAAAGTATCACTTTGAGAACAGACCCCTCCCCCATCCCTTTCCCTCCTCCCACCCTCCTAGGGAGGTCCAGCGCCCCGGTAAAGGGAGGCAGCAGCCCCCCGACACCTGGGAGGTGTGGGAGAAGCGTCTGGGTGCGTTCCTTACCTGGTCTCTTCCATCCTTACACCAGTCCAGCGAGTGATGCTGTTCTTTACGTTTTATAGCTAAGGACACCAAGGCTCTGCTGGAGATGTTCCATAAACATCTGACTGAATGAATGGTGAATAAAGGAGGTGACTGGCTAGAAGTCACAGTCGGGCTGGGGCCAAACTGGGGCTGGAACCCAGGTCTGCCCTACCCCAGCCATGAACCCCACCTCTGCTACATTATCCTCCTGGCAGAGGAGGCCATCAGCTTCTCCCTGCAGGCTTGGAAGATGCTTGGAGGTCCCAGAGAAGAGGCCAGGCCTCACTCCCTCAGGAACTCTGGGAGCTGCCTGGAATTGGAGGAGGCAAAGCTGTCAGGAGGTGGCTGAGGCCTGGCCCTGAAGGACTGTGGAGGAGTTAGGAAGGGGCAGAGTTCCCAGGGATGGTGCCATGTACCACTGCCAACATCAGGTACCTTTCCACTGGGCTCAAACCTCTTCTCCCTATGAAGTCCCTCCGGGCCCCCAGGCAGTCCAGAATGCCCCTCCCATGCCTCCCCCCAGTCCCCTGGATATCAGTAGCCAAGAATCTACCAAAATCCCTCTTCTACTCAGTTCCTTACAGTGGGGCCCTTAGTAAGCCCTCCACTCAGCCACCACTCTGTAAAGGGTCTTTCTGCAGAGCTTCAGCTCACCGCTTTGTCCCGCTTCCTGCCCTCACATGCCCCTCCGTCCTTTTGTCTCTCTTTCC